CCCCCCCCCAGGATTAAGACAGGTGCTCCAGGAAACGTGTTTTGCTGGGCGGCAGAGGCCGCTTTCATCTTTACTCTGTTTCCTGGCTCACAGACCCAGGCTGCCCAGTGGGCTTGGACCACGTGATGGAAGCAGTAGTGGGGCCTGCGGGCCTCTCCTAGGTGTCCTTGCCTCATCCCAGGAAACTCCAATTCTGTGTAGCTGAGAACCACAGGGTTTTTCACCTGGTAGGAGTCTCAGAAATAAACTACCAAGGCCTCACCTTCTACAAATTAAATGGGTTCAAGCATCAGGATGCCCATTTTACAGACTAGAAAACTGAGGCCCAGAGAGATTAAGCAAACAGTCCAGAGTCACACAGCCAGTAAATTAGAAGTTGGGGCTAGAACAGGTCTTCTGGGACTTAGCCCACGGTTTCATTTATTTTTCCTCCTAGAGACTGAGCTTTACAAATTAAAAACAACTTTTAATTAAGACTTGCTCACTCACCTTGAGTGTCCCTCGGTAACTGTTAGACACAGGGGCCACCTGGTCCATGTTCTTGATTCCAAAATCATTCATCTTAAAAGAAAAAAGGAAGGAGAGTCAGATGCAACAAGTCAAGTGCTCCATTTTTAAGGAGACTTCACGGGCTGCAAGACACCGATTCCTGCTGAGTCTGTCAAGTTGCATAATAGTCATTCAGAACCAAATGCCAGGAATTCTTATTTAAAAGGCCCTTTCTTACAAAGGCTATGATATTTAAGTAGTTCAATAATAATGCTGATTCCCACTGAATTCCACTTAGAGCCTCCTAAGGCAGCCTGTGTCCTTCCCAGGTAGGCAAGGGAGGGGCTACTATTCCCTGCCACCCGGGTGTGGGCCCAGAGGGGTGCCAGACAGTCATGGGCCACCTCCTGTCTGCAAGGGGGCAGTCAGCCGCACTGGGGATCCTCAGGAGTGACCTGCTCCAGGCAGCTCCAGGTATATCAAGATCTAGGAAAACATGCTGGGAGGAGCCGGGAGGCCCCTCCTGTCCACACTGGAGGAAGCACAGGCCCAGGGAGATCAAAGGGAGAACCGCGGCTTCAGACTAACCCTCCGGCCCGGTCCCAGATCCTCCAGTGTTAAATACACGAGCTCTAAACACGTCTGCTTTGTGTGTCGCCCAGCTGTGCACCTCCTCAAGAAGCAATTCCAATCACAGATCGGCCTCACTTGCTCTGACAGTATCTGGGCTTATGCTAGACCTGCCCCGCCCAACGTGGTAGCCACCGGCCACGTGCGTCTGGTGAGCGCCTGGCACATGGCTAAGACATGCTCTGCATGTAACATACACAAGCAGAGATTTCAAAGGTCTCGTAGAAAAAAGTAAAATATCTCAGTAATAACGTTACATTTACTGCATGTTTATATAACACTTTGAATATATTCGGTTAATGGAAATATACTGAAATTAAGTGCACCTATTTTAAATATTTAAGATGGCTATTAGAAAAGTTATAGTTACATATGTGGCTTGCAACTGGACTGTGTCGTAACAGACTGTGAATTTATTTGGGGCCCTAATATGAAACTGTTTGGCCAGGTGAGTTATATATTAATAAGGGAGAAGGGTACCTAGATAATGGCACTAGAATGTTAGATAAAAAACCCAGAGAAACCAAAACTCATTTTCAAATAACCTAGGTTAGCATAGTTGATAGTAACCTTTACCCTATGGGGCCCTCCTCAACCTCCTGGCTTCCTGGCCACGGAACTGAAGGGCTATAAGGCAGCTTTCTGGGGTCCACTAATTGCCCTCCCCGCCAGTCTCCACCGGGTGCTCCCAACTGTTACAGCTGAGACCTCTGAGTAATTAAAACACTGCGCAATAGATAGCACTTACCAGAGGTGGCAAATAGCATATTTTCCGGTACCTAATTGGTTTTTTTGGTGTGCTTTCTTGTTTTTTCTTTATGATCAATGTTATAGCTAAAGCAGACCTCCCAACAACTCAACACCCTCCCCCCTCCCTTGGCTGGAGAGGCAGTGTGGGAGGTGAGTGTCTGCCTCAGGGGAGGCCAGAGGCACCGCAGAGGGCTGTTAAAACCCTCAGAGTGCGGGTAATTATCCCGGTGGCCAGTGAAGGCTGGAGCACTGGAAATAAATAACAGGGCTATGGGGGTGGGCAGGGAAGGGGGGGGGCTGTCCTGGATCAAAAGTGGCCACATTTGTTCAGCATCTCCACTTGGTGGGCCATGTTCCCACATGCACTCAAGGATCAATATTCAGTACTGATGACGGCTGCAATGACAGATTCCTCCTAGCCCAGGGCTGAGCCTGAGCTGGGGGACTGTCCCTTCCCACCTCACTGAATCTTCCAGACATCCCTGAGAGGTGGATGTGACACAGCGAGGCCCAGAGACCTTTGGGAACTTGCCTAGGATCACACAGCTACTGTGGGGGCTTCTGAGGGGCACAGTGCAGACCACACGGCAGTTGGGGATGGCCCTAAATCCTGAGCGCCTCCATGTGCCAGGGTAACCTGAGGGATGGGGCCTGGGCCTTCTCCCACCACATCCTATAGGTCAGACAGCACACAGATGTTATTAGACCGGCGCCTACATGCTACTCTTTACAATGGGAAATGCTCCTCAATGCAGAGCCTTCTGTCATTTACAGGAATGAACTAAGTCCTGCTAACCTGTTGATTAAATACACGAGCCTGAAACAGAAGAGCAAAATGCCCAGGCATCTTGGGTGCTGCCAATTACCCACCCAGGCCGGCTCCTTTTCTACGTCTGGTTTGCAGACGCTTGGTGACTTGGGAAATGTGGAATAATTTCCCACCTTCACAGAGATGGGACAGAGAATGGATGTGGAAGGCGATGGAAAAGCTTGGCGGGGGTTTTTGTGTACAAATACTTGGGAGAAAAGGCAGTCTACCACTCCCACATAAAGAGCTGTAATTATTCATTCCAGAATAGAATTCTTTTGTTGTCCAGCTTTTAATTTGTTTTGTAAGAACCATGAAGAATCAAAGTGGTTTCAGGCAGACAAAGAATTAATCAAATTTAAGTTCACTTATTTTATTCAACGTGGCTCGTTAAGGTGGCAGACAAGCCAAGTTTCTCCATGTAAATCAATTTCAAATTTGGGTCCTTTTTGTGTTTTTGTGTTGCCCTTTGGAAAGCTGCTTGTGAACAACAACAACAACAAAAAACCCCAAAAACCAAAAAAAAGAAAGAAAAAAAGGAAAGTGGCAGAAACCTAAGTGCTGAACATGGTTAAATTTTTAAAACAAGCAGAACTTGCCTGACAACTGTACCCTTCTTGGAACAAGTGATCACTTATGTGAGATTAGACCACAGGTTTGTATTTAGGCAAATTTGGAAAGAAAAAGAAAAAGGACCCCCTCCCCCCTCCAAGTCCTTTCTGAAGGTTGGTGTGTTTTTCCTTTGAAAGTTATCACTTTAGCGAGAGGAATGACTAATCCCAACAATGAGTGTCTGATATTTCCCTGCAGGACCCGAGGGGCTAACATTTACTGTACTATGATATTACTCAGAATTTTAATAAACCTTAACTTGGAGATTTATCTCCCTGATGGGTGGTGATGCGGGCAGGCAGATGGCGCACAGGCGCTTCCATTGTCCAGAACAAACATAATCTCTTCGTGGTGAGTTAAAATAAATTATCCTTATCTCCAAAGGGGACTGCTCACTTCTTCACTTTCTAAATAAGTAGCACGTCAACTACTATTTCAGGCTACCTTGAAATTGAAACAGACCAATATAAAAAGTCTCCTGTGCTTTAAAAAAAACCGCACACCCTCAAATGCACAAACGCTCACTGATACCCCTTCATTAAAAATGCTTTATGAACGAGAAAATAAAGGCAGCCCTGCGCGCCCAAGGCGTCCTTTCCGGCCAGCTCCGGGTGCTCGCCCGGCGGGGCCGAGG